CTGGTGGCCACTGGCCAGGCTGAGGCTCTGCAGAGCTGTGGTGCCCACCAGGCTTGAGGCAAGCTCAGGGGTTTTGGTGGCCACCATCGGGCTGGAAGCACCATGGAGCTGTGGTGGCCAGCAGTGACCAGCAGTGACCAGCAGTGGCCAGCTGACCCCTGAGCCCAGCCACTGGCCCTACTCTTGGCTCTCCATCTCAAATCTCCTCTGCTGCAGCCTCCAAAGACCACTGAGAAGCAGCAGAAGAAGGGAGGGCGTGACCTGGAGAACAGGAGCAGTTTTTTCCCGGGGTTTGTGTTTGGGGTTTTTATTTTAAATGGGGCTGTTTGGCTGGTTTTGGCTGTAATCCGTGTAATTCCAGAGGCTGGAGGAGCTTTGGAGATCTCCTTTGTGGGAGATCGCACTCCTCAGGCTCTGCTCTTCAGCCCTGAACATCTGAGGAGGTGCTGGGAAAAGAGCAGATTTCTCCTTCTTGATATTCCTCTAGTACAAAGAAAAGAGTTTTTAAAGGATATTTTTAAAGTATGCCTCCTTTCTCTGTCTCTTCTTGCATTGCAAAAAGGGACGAATGGTTTAAACAAGTTAATTAGAGGAATTTTTCCACCAAGGACAGAAGGGTGAGGATGCTCTCACAGCCTGACAGGTCTGCTGGAGGTTTGTTTTTTCTGGAGGACAGGCAGACAGTTGTCATTGGGTGCTGCTGGAGCAGAGACAAAATGTGAACAGCCCAAGCTTTTTATTTTTTTTGCTTCAAACACATGTCTTGTCTCTTCCTATGGAAATGTTTATTTAGCCAAACAAGCAGGTGGGAGAGGAGAACTCTTTGTGGAAACCACAGCTCTGCTCCTCTCCAAAACCACTGGAACAGCTCAGTCTCACCCCTCTGGCACAAACAGAGAAAATGCCTTCCTTATAATCCCAGATTAAAAAGAAAAAGGAAAGAAACCACAAGCTCTGGGAGCTTTCTTTAATGTGAATGTTATCAGAGAGCAAAAAGGCAAGCCCTAACATCTTTCTGTGCTTTTAAACATCGATTTTGTCATCCCTGGTGAGCAAATGCAGCAGGATTGGAGTGTTCTCTGTGGTTGGGGGGTTATCCTGGTCCCTCTGAGGGGTGGTCACAGCAGCTGAGAGACGTGGCCGTGCTTTCAGCTCATGGACATTGCTCATGTCCAGCACCTCCTGTCCTGCAGTGTTACCCCTGTGGGCCACAGCTGCTTCTCCTCCTCCCTCCAGCCCCGTTCAGTGAGGGGAAAAATGACTTTTCCCCACATTCCAGCAATGCAAATTCCAACCTGCTGKGAGAACTTCGCCTCCCATCCCTCGGGGTCGGTGCCTGTGAAGCGTAAAATGAAGAGAAGCTCTGAAAGATCCATCAGCAGGGAAGCTGAGCTAGGAGAGGACGAGGCAATGGAGCATCCCTTCAGAGCTCAGCACACATCCAGGACAGCCTGCTGTGCCCAGGGGAGCCTCCTGCTCCCTCCCAGCACCATGAGCTGTGTCCCAGGCCAGGAGAGATTACAGTTCATGAACTGTGCCCACATAGGTGAGATCTGGAGCTGGGAGAGCTCCTGGAGCCTGGCACAAAGCTCAGGATCTGTCAGCACCTGCAGCCAGAATTGTCACCTATTTCCAGAGCCAAGGATGTCATCCCAGTTCATTCAGGGAATAAAAGCAGTTTTACTGTGGACAGCCCAAAGTGAATTGTTCCTGTGCACAAATAACCATCTCTCTTCATTTTGTCACGTTCCTCATCCAGATCTTGGCTTTGTGTTCCAGGGTCTTTATTTCAGCCTGGCTCAGTCCTGGAACTGCCCTGGAAGGCTCTCAAGTGCTTTTGTTGCTKCGGTTGATGGGAGCAAAGCCTTCCAGGCTGCATTAGTGCTGCTCGAGGCTGGCAGGCAACAGATGGAAAATAAACTGGTTCAGGAGCTCTGGGGATGGTGCTGGTGCTGCAGGCGATGGAGAGCAGGCACGGATGAGCAGCAGAATGCAGAGTGCTCCTGCTCCCAGCTCCGGGGCTGCCAGGGCAGGCTGATGGATCCTGGGGATGTGCCAAGGGCTGCCTGCCACTGAGGGGYTCATCTCACCTCCTCTCACACCAGCGTGGAGCTCTTGTTCTGCCCCCAAATTGGCCCATTCCCTTCAGACTCCAGAGTGGAAATGTCTGGAAGCATCCAGAGCCCTTTTGGGGCTGCTCCAAGGGCAGCATTGCCTTGGTGAGCTCCATTGGGGCTTTACAGAGGGAGAAACTGAGGCACAGAGGGCTGGGATCTCACAGGAATTTCTGCAGAGGACCGTGGGGTTTGTGGCTCCCTGATGGGTGGCTGGAGGAGCAGAGAGCCAAAATATTCCATGCCAAAATATTCCCGAGGCTGGAGATTTGGAGGGCACTGACCAGAGCAGGGCAGTGATGCTGGTATGGAACCCACCAGGAATGGAAATCACTCATACAAAGGCTCAGCTCAGTCTCTCTGTGTTTTTGGAATGTGATACTCACATTTTGACTGCCTTTGTCTCACTGCACATCAGTCAATCCCAACAATCACCATCTCCAGGTGCTCCCAGTATCTGCAGGTTTAGGACTGACTGGCTGGAAAAAGCAGGGAGTTTTTCTGACAAAGGGCCTTGGATGTGAGCAAATGGTTCAGATGGAATTACTCATGCAGATGCAGGTTTAATATGCTCGTGCCAGCAGTTCCTGGACACTGATCCCTATTGCAAATAGCACCAAATCCTGCCAAGGGGCGTTAATCTTTCCTCTGGATGTGCTGGGGAAAATGTGAATTAACTCCAGAGAGGCCAGAGTGGATTTCTGCAGGAGTTCCATGGAATCTCACTTGCCTCTTCTTCCCAAACCAGGAGCTGGCTCTGAARTCCTTGGGGAATGAGGGGCTGTTTCTGTTCTCCTCCCTGGACACAAACAAGGACCTGTACCTGAGCCCAGAGGAGTTCAAACCCATCGCTGAGAAGCTCACAGGTGGGTTCCTGTCTGCCTTCCAGAGCCCTCCCTGCCCAGAGCAAACAATGAGCTCCACAGCTTTCATTCACTGAATATTTTACTCACTTCATTATTTTCTGGGTGCTGTTTTGGGCCTTATTTCCATGAAGAGGGGCTGCAAAGCTGYCATGTTGTTGAAAGGGCTTAAGCACTAGACATCACTTTGACAAARTGCAGTTTTTATAAGGTGGGGGATCCCATTGCTGGACTAGCAAAATACATAAATCACTTTGTCTGGAGCTTAAAGGGGATTTGGAATGGGTGAATGTAACAAATACAGCTCAGCCAGGCCAGGCCAAAAGCATCAGTGAGTCACAGCGTTCCATTGAGTGTGGGAGATCATCTCTGGAGACTGTATCAGCACAGAGCAAATGGCTCTGCTGTGCCAGGCAGGGAGGAGTGTGGGGCTGACAATGGACACTGGGGACACAGAGTGTTTGTGCTCTGCTGGACTGGCTCCAGCACGTGCTGGGATTGCTCTGAGGGGCACAGAGCCTGCCTGGCTCAGCCTGGGCTTTGGAGTCAGGGAAATGTGGAATCGTGGAATGGTTTGGGTTGGGAAGGACCTTAAAGCCCATCCTATTCCACCCTCCTGCCCCTGGATCAGCCCCRTCCAGCCTGGCCTTGGACATTTCCAGGGATCCAGGGGCAGCCACAGCTTCTCTGGGCACCCTGTGCCAGGGYCTCCCCAACACCACAACAACAATTCCTTCCCAATACCCMACCTAAACCCTCTTTCTGTTTAAAGAGTTGGTCACTAAAAGGAGGATTCCTCTTTAATTCCTCCAGCCAAAGCTGGTCTGGGGATGGGTGTGAGTTCTGCTGTGCAGGGACAGCTGGGAAGCTCCTGGATTTGTCAGGATAAATGTGTAATCACAATTGCTGAAAAGGGGAGGGAGGGGCAACAGCTGCTTGAATTCCTGTCCTTTTGTCCAGGGRTTTCTCCAGTCTCAGAATCCGAGGAGGAGGAGACGCTGGATCCAGATGGGGAGACTTTGTCCGTTGTGGCCAAATTCCAGCCCTTGGTCATGGAAACAATGACGAAGAGCAAGGACGGTTTTTTGGGAGTAGGTGTCCTGCAGGCCACAAATTGTGGAATAAACACGTCTGSTGGGCTGGGAACAGCACCAGGGATRTGYTGGGAGGGGGACACAGTCCTGCAGAATCCCGTGGGATTTGCTGTGATGGGGAATTTGCTGCTTCCCTCAGCATTTCAGGGTTTTCAGCGCACTCAGCAGCACCGTGCCCCAGTTAGAGCTCCCTTCGTGGGGAGCTGGGAGCAGGGATTGGAGCTGCCTCTGCTGCAGCTGAGCAGTTCTGTTACGTGGCATCTTCCCCTCTCCTCTGTTCATTCCTGACAGAACTGTTGGAAGGATGAGAAGAATTTGGGATGTGATACATTTTTCCCCCATTTTCCAAAGCCTCCCTACATCCATGACATCACTGCACATTGGAGAGTCCAGTGGGGGCTCTGACAGTGTTTTTTGTTCACAGATCTCTCACGTGGCTCTGTCTGGGCTGAGGAACTGGACAGCCCCAGCAGCCCCTATGAGTGTCCTGCTTGCCAGGCAGTTTAAAGCCTTTCTCCCTCCCAAGAACAAAGTGGATCTTGGGGATCCSTGGTGGATCATTCCCAGCGAATTGAACATCTTCACTGGGTATCTCTCCAACAACAGGTTTTACCCTCCACCTCCCAAGGGCAAAGAGGTGAGATAYGAAACTCAGCTTTTATGGATATATCCCTGTTTTTTCTAAGGAATCAGAAAATCTATGGTGTATAGCCAGGAGCACCTAAATTGGAGGTAAAACTGAGATCAGGCAGAAGGGATGAGTCTGATTTGAGTGTCTTCA